GGATTCGAACCCGCCACCTTAGGTGTATGTGGCTGGGGTCTTAGCCGCTTGAGCCATAGGCGCCGAGCCACTACCTGGTGTTTCTTAAAGGTCAGTCCGGGGACAGTTGGTACCTCCTGGTCCATTTCTCAGGGAGTTTTAGTCAAGCAAGAAGTCAGTAAGCACTTTCCCATCTTCCCATCTATCTTGGGAGTGAACCAGACTTACTTCCTTTTTTTTTTTTTTTTAAGAGACAGAGTCTCACTTTGTAACCCGTGGTAGAGTACTGGGGTGTCACAGCTCACAGCAACCCCTAGCTCTTGGGCTTAGGCAATTCTCTTGCCTCAGCCTCCCCAGTAGCTGAGACTATAGGCGCACCCACCACAACGCCTGGCTATTTTTTTGTTGCAGTTTGGCCGGGGTCAGGTTTGAACCCACCACCCTCAGTATATGGGGCCAGCGCCCTACTCGCTGAGCCACAGGTGCCACCCAGACTTACTCTAGTTTGTTGAGGGCTTGCAGCCCAGAAATTTGCCAGGAGTTAACCGGTATTTTTCTACCTTAGTCTCTGCCTAACACTATTCCTCCTTCAAGCTCAGGTGCCCCCTTCTCTCAGCAGCCGACACTGGCTCCCGCACCTGAAAGGCAGGGCCAGCTCCTCTATGACTCTCCACTGCTGGTCAAGTCCTGCTTTTATGTCAGGGCCATGTTCAGGGCTGTCTCCCTCACAGACATTTTTGCACCATGCCTTACACTTAGTAGGCACTCAGAATATTTGTGGAATAGAGGAGGACTTTTTCAAGAATTTTATTTTTAAATTATTACACAATAAATGGACTTTTAAACATATAATTCTATGAATTTTAACACATGTAATAGATTTTTGTAACCACTCTGGCAATCAGGATAGGGTAGAGATCTGTCACCAAAGCAGCTCCCTGCTCTATTCCTTTATGGTCTGGCCTCCCTCTACGCCTAGGCCCTAGCAGCCATGTAAATTCTCTCCATCACTATAGTGCTGTCTTTTCAAGAAGGTCATCTAAATGGAATCATACAATAAGTCGCCTTAGGGAGAAGACGTCTTTCATTGAGCAGATTCACCCAAGGTTTGTTCTTTGTATTGCTAAGCAGTGCTCTATTGTATAGATATATTGAAGGACAGCCTGGCTGTTTCCAATTCTGGGCAACTATGAATTAGATCTGCTATAAATAGTTATGTTGAGGACTGTGTGTGAAGAAAAGTTTTCATTTCTCTAGATAAATACTCAGGCGTGTAATTGCTGGCTTATTAATTAAGTGTATATTTATTTTTTTAAAAGAAACTGTGTTTTCTGGAGCGGCAGTACAATGTCGCAATCCCACCAAAGTGGGAGCAGTGTTGCTCGGCACCCTGGCCCGCCTGCACTTCCTACTGACAGCATTTTTTTCTTAATTTTAGCTATTTTAGTGATGTAAAATAGCACATTACCCAGGTTTTAACTTGCATTTCCCTAATGGCTAGTGATTAGCATCTTTTGAGATATTCTTTTGTCTTCTGGGTATCCTCCTATCTGTTTAACTCTTGCCTATTTTTTAAAATTGGGCTGTTGGTTTTCTTACTATTCAGTTTTATAAACGACTTTATTCAGGAACAGTTTACAAACGATAAAAGCCACCCATTTTAAGTAGACAATTCCATGTTTTAGTAATTTTATCAGCCTAATCCAGGCCATCTGTGCTTACCATTGAGGTTTGAGGTATATATATATATATATATATATTCTAGATACAAGTCTATTGTTGGATGTGTGATTTGCAATATTTTACAAATGAAGGACTTTTTTTGGCAGATGAGCGTATTTTAACTGTGGGCCTGAGAGGTGGGTCCTACAAATTGTCTCCCTTGGTTTTAACTTGGATAAGCAGCACATTCTGGAAATAATAAAGACAATTCACATTTGCTGAATGACAAAAAGAGAATTGACCACAAAAGTCCTTCCCCCTGTGATAAAGGACATCACGGAAGTCATAGTAAGGTGCTCCCCCCACCCCAGTCCCTGGTAGGTTCGCAGGGTACCCAGAGATTCAGATGGGGGGTGGGGAGGGGAGGAAACAGCAGGGCTCTGCAAAGAGCCGGGAGCGGGAAGCCTGCCGCCCTCTCTGCTCAGTCAGAAAAACAAATGAAGCTTCATTTTTAATTTTGCTTTCTTTTTTAATTGAAGGAACATTTCAAACATGTTTTAAAAGTAGAGAAAATAGAATAAGAAACCTCCAAATACAATCACCGAGCCTCAACTATTATCAATTCAGGGCCAATAATCTGTCAGCGGACTTCAACCCACCCCAATTCCCACTAAACAATTAGGACTTTAAAAAAAAACGGTATCACGTCTAAAACATTTAACAATGACTTAACAGCGTCAAATGCCGGAGGTCTCCTCTCGCGGGTGTTAGAGCCTCTCGCGCAGCGGCCGCCTAGTTCAGTGGTCCCAGCCCCCGCGCGGGAGCTGCACACGCCCCGGAAGCCAGGGACAGAGATTCGGCCCCTTTTCTTCCCGGCGGGGTCAGCGCGCCGGGTGGGACCCCGCGCTCAGCCCCTGCCCCTCGGCACCGACGCGCCTCCGCGTCCGCCCCGCCCCGCCCACGCCCCGGATCCCGAAGCTTCGCCGCCGGCGCTCGCAGAGCTCCGGCGCGTCCGAGTGTGCGGGCGGCCCCGCGGGCGAGGCCCGGAGCAGCCCCGCGCGTCCCGCTCCCGCGGCGCCGAGGGTGCGGTCTGCGCTGCGGCCGTGCGGAGGGAGGCGCTTTCGGCCCCGGCCGCCCCCGCTTCAGGCCCTTGGGGTCCGCCCGCCCCGTCCACGCGGGATCTCCGGTTCCCTGGCCGCCAGCATGGGCGCCCGTCCGCTCTCGCCGCAGCCGCCGCTGCTGCTGCTGCTGCTGCTGTCGCTGCCGCCGCTGCTGTCAGGTACCGGCACGGGCGAGACCCGGAGTTGGGGACGCGGGGTCCGAAGGAGCTGCGGGCGAGAGCGCAGCGCGGGGAGACGGAGGAGCGAGGCCGGGGCGCGGGTGCCAGAGCCTCGGAGTCCTAGTGGACTCGCTGCAGCCGGCAGCGAGTTGGGTGGGACGTGGCTTTCTCACTGGCGCTCACCCCCTTCGCGGAGTCTGGGGCGCCGAGGGGACTCGGGACTCTGCCTCTCATCCTGGGTCCAGAAGCTACGGGCTCGAGTCCCCTCAGCCTGCCGGTCGCCCTGCTCTATGCAGTGTTGCCGAAGTGGCGCGGCGAGGCGCCCGGTTCACCGCCTGCAACCAGCCCGCCTCGTCTGACGTATGGATGGGGCAGCTGTGGCCAGACAGGTCTGAAGACTCGTCCAAGGCCACCCGAGCGGGGTTGCGGGTTGGGGCCGGAGCAGGCGCGCCAGCCTTTCCTTACTTTCCTGGGCTCTCCGCGATCCTCGCTGTGTTACTTTGAGACCCGAAGCCAGAGCGCGCCCCCCGCCCGGTTCCTGGAGAAGCCTGTGGAGGAGAAGGCCTGACACTCCCGCCGCTGGGAAGCTCTTCGGGTGCCCTGGGAGGGCTGGGGGAGAGCCCGGCCTGGGCACTTGGCGGGGCTGCAGGGATTTCCTGCAGGTCCCGGCCAGTAGTCAGCTGGGAGAACGCAGCGATGCGGTGCGTTCAGATTGCTGTCGCTGCCCTCTCTGTGCTGCGGCCTCCCCTACACTCTCAACCGGCTCCTGGGGCCCCGCCTTTCTTTCCCTGGAACGGTAGAGGGGGGAACAGGTACCATTTGAGGACCAGAAGAAGATGGATTAGATTCCCCCTTAAGATTCTCCTCCCTCCCCAGCTGCCCCCAGATCAGTAAATGGGAAGCATCGGACCGCTGACCCAAGATGTCTCACCCATGCAGGCTTCTGAACAAAGCGGGCTCCTAAGGGTTTCATAGAGATCACAGTATTTATTCAGTATGTGAAGACAACAGCTAGAACTGTGGGCTGCGCGCTGAGATCGTGGGAGCTGTGTGGGCGCCTTGCCTTCTGAGAGGGCTGGTGGCCAAACCCCTACAGGGTCCTGGGTGGGATGAGGAACGCCCTGCTGGACTGCAGT